CTTTGTGTGCCAGATTATCTTAAATCAGTTCAATCGTATTTTAGGAAAGGATTGTCAAATATTCGTGTCTATTTCTCTCTCGCTCTCTCTCTCTCTCTCTCTCTCTCTCTCTCATTTACGTGATTACAAAAGCGACAAATAAAGCACAAATAATCACTAATTTGTGATTAGAAAATTGAACTTAATCCACTTTTTAAACTTTTCCACAATTTTACTTTACAGACTCTCGCTCTTTCTCTAAAATCATGTATGATAATATAATGTACCCATAAAAAATGACAATTTTTTAACGCAAAATGTTGGTTAATGTTGATGTGCACACACAAATTATTATGACGATAGTCGAGAGAAGTAATCATTAGTAGCGTTGATCAGATCGGGATTTGAATTTTGTTTAATGAGATTTACAGATTGCGCACCACCGCGACGACTGCAATGCTCCAAAAGCGCATGATCCCTTCATGTTAAATGCTTATGACTTTAAAGGTCGGAAGACTGCAAGGTAGTCTCGCGAATGATACGATTACAGACCTCATCAGGAGTAAGTCTGCGTAATCCCTAAGTCGACCCGTTCCCTTCTTTAATCCATAGCGGGCATTAACTCCTTTGCGCGCAGAGAGTGCAGGGGCTCTCGAACCTGTTGCTTTAAACAAGATGTACGCTGAATAATGGATATTCCTAAGTAGTTCGAAGTCCGCTTAAAACCGGCATGGCCGACAAGGTAGCTCCTCGCGACTGCCTACGAATAAATTCCAATTTGATCAATTAACTCGTAAATAAATTGATCTCGCGGGTGCAGCGATGTGAAATCGATTGAACTCAATATCTTCAGCAAATCTCATTTATTTAGCAATTAATTGCATTTTAAGATCATAAATAGATTACTAGCTTAAAAAAAAGCACTGTGCTGATTTAGAAACCCATTTATCTAAAGCACATGTCGACATTGTATTAATATGAGTCTTTCTTTGTCTGTTTATTCAAGGGGCTTAGCATCAATAAAACTAAAATAACAAGCAATAAAAGATAACTCGTAAAACGATAAATGTTTTAATGCTGGCGGCCTCAAACTACTCATATAAGTCATGTACAGTTATATAAGATTGTGACGTCAGAAGTGGAAATTGCAAATCGCACTTGAAAAAAAGTCAATTTCTCCGCCACCGTTCATGCGCCCGATAAATGTAGATTGGTGAAGTATTGCTGAAAAGTCCCTTTTCGTTTGTCTAATTTATTTTGAGGTATAATTCGGGAAAAAAATTAATTTTTCATTTTCTCGATCGAACGTGGCAGTGAGTAATCGTGAGACTTAAGTAAAAGAGATCTATCTGTATAATGTGAAAAGAGAATTGCAGCGCTTTCAGAACACCGGCGCAATATCGTCGGACTGATTTGAAAACGCTCGCAACTAATAGTGTTCAACTCCTTGTTACGACGCATCTCCGTTTCATTCTCTGCCGCGAATTTTCCATTTTCTTTTTTCCCCCTCTGCCCGCGCGCTTCTTTTGACTACTTCTTCAAGCAAGAGCAGCTCCTCTGTGTCGAATCTGACGTTTTAATCTCAAGTATCCAGATGGGATCCATGATTTCGTATAAGGAGACGAGGATGGAGGGGGGGGGGAAGGGGAAAGAGGAAGAGAATCGGAGAATTTAGAATATACTCGGAAGAGAAAAGGTGTCTACGAAATAAAGAAGTGAAATCGATGCTGAAGATAATACACGTTCGCAATTCCATATTTCTCAATTTTTTCTTTTTAACATTTTTTTAATATATATTGAAAAAAAAACGAATGCAGATGCTTAAGGAGTACATGCAGATGAAACTGAGCCGAGTGATAACATATGTGGGTGGAATTTGATTTTGATATCGATAGAAAATGAATTTCTTGCTCGAAACGTGACAAACTTGTATATAATTTTTCTCGAGGCGCGTATCGTAATGAGGAATTTCCAAACGCAATTGTTTCCACACTGATAAAATCGAAAATCTTTAACCATTCATCGATCATCTTTAATGAAAAAGAAAGAACTATTAAAAACAATCTCTAAACTCGAAAATAGTGCAAGCAAGTTGGCTCGGTCAAACTTTAATCCAGTATTAAGCTCGAATGTGGTTTCGTTTTGATATTCCGGAATACCAGTTATCGCGCGACTAAAATTCTCCCGTAATGTAGTTAAAAAACGTAACGACTCACTCTCACACGTTCTAAATTGCACTCGCAGAGACGAGATCACTGGTATTGTTGTTGGCGTCATCGTAAACGGCGTTATACAATATATTACACTGAAAGCGATAGTCGTTGCACTTTGTTAATATCCCTTCTTCCTCGTTCTCGTTGCTCTCCCCACTTTTGCGCTGCGTACCTCATCCCTCGTCTGAGTCATCGCGCACGATTTCGGTGCGAAGGGGATCCGTGCTCCTTTAATTCTTGGCCACTCCTGGACTTTGTCGCTACACTAAACTTGGCACGCGTAAATTATTCTCCGTCATTTAATACGACGCTAACTACCCCGATCAGTCTTTGTGTCACTTGTGTAATTATGTGTATGCGTGTTGTGCGCGTGTGTACGTATGCAATTGTGTACGTGTCTGTTTGTGTCGTTTAAATTCTATTTTTTTTTTTTTAATTGAGTCCGTTATTTAAGGAAATCAACACCAACGATGAGGACTTGGGTTTTGCTTATCGAATTATCGTTACAGCCAGAGCGATTAGTAGTAGTGTCACGGTCGTCATCACGCCCGTCGCTGAATCTGAAATTAGACAAAGTTTCACTATTTAGGACAAAAAAGTACTGAAAAAACTTTCTATAGAAGTTTCAAATTATGTAGTATTAAAAATTCGTATAATTTGCTTAAAACTATTGATGCATGTTTATTTTGAAAACAAATTGCATACATTTAAATATTGAACATCACTAAAAAATCTTTGTACACGAATTATTATTTAGTTCGTTCGAAATAGCTCAATTTTTCAAAGTATTTTGAAAACCCCGTTTATTTTTTTGCAAGACACTAACGTCTCATGAAAAAAAAGAAAAAAAAAAAAGAAAGCACGGAATATTCGCTGTCGTTGTCGTGAGACAACACGCGGATAAAAAAGAAGGGCTCTCTCACCATCGGTACTCTCGAGAGGTCAATGTACAATCAAGGACTTCCCGACGAGAATCTGTCGTTACCTCGTTGCAGGAAGGTTGCCATGAAAGAATCCCTCTTCCCTTCAAGAGGGATAGGAGGAGACGGAGACGGGGAGAATGAAAAGGGGAAGGTGCCGATGGCCGACGGACCAAGCGTAGCGGATACAGAAGGGCCGTGGGGCGGGGTGGGAGGAGGGGGGGGGGGAGATAGACGAAGAAGGGAAAAAAAGAACGGGAAAAATGGGAAGTCAGTTATTCTTCCGGTTGGCTTGCATCGTACCGTTAGCTATTACTCGCTTGGAGAGAAATGTATTCTCCTGGCCTTTTCCTGGCCTCACTCATCTCTAATTACGAATCAGAAACAACCCGGTGGGCCGCCGGCCGGAGATCACTCTCTTTTCTCTCCCACGGCCTTTTCTTCGTCTTCCCGACTCTCATCCAAAGGCTCGCGCAAGGCAGTAACTTGCCTCGACTCCCCTTTCTTTTATCCGGTCCCTGGTGCTGCCCCGAGAGAATTCTTCGCTTCGCTACTTTTGTACGATCTTACCTACCTTCAATTCGCGATTTCTCACCCCAATCCACCCTCCCGGTCCCCTCCTTTCTCGTCATCTTCATTTTTACGAGAGGAATGTGCGTTATGTATTTATGATCGATATTTATATTTCATTATTGCGCGCGCCAAAGATGCGAAAATTGTAGATTGCGTCCCGGGTCTGACATTAGAAATTCAAATCAAGGTGTATAATTTCGACGGGACCGAGAAGGTCTGATCTATATTTATTCGATGTAATGGGAAAGCGATGTACGGCGCAATGTGTGCCGTATAATTTTTCGCACTCTAGTATCGGATATTGAACTCACCGCAATCGCGTCGGCATGAAACATAGCGTGGAGTCTCGAGGCGGGCTTTAAGAAACTGTAAGAAACTGAAGCTTCTCCCGCGTCGAACAGTCTTTGTTAGCGATTTGACGTTTGTTTCAAAGCAAGACGCGCTGTTTCCCCGAGTTTCACGGAGCGTTCGATATTTCTTGCACCGACGTTCTTCCCGGCGCAATGAAGCACTTACATACAGAAGCTTGCAACGCAGTTTCCCTCGTTACAATCCAACCCCGCGCTTTTTTCTATGCAAAATTACCTACTTCTCCGAGACTATCGCGATCGTCCCCGCGGAGAAAACGGATTTTCACACTACGCCATTATGCAAATTCCTTTTAAAAGTAACCGCGGTCGGGCGAGATATTGAGAGACGGTGATATAGAAGGAGAGCAGGGAGGAGGGGCGAGACAAGGATTGAATTACGGGAGAAGGGGGTGAAGACGGCTCGTGGGAGAAGGAGGAAAAAATGCGGGCGTAGAAAAGAATTATCCGATAATGCCGAAGGCTCGGCGGAATTATGAAAGGTGCTACACCTGGTCTGATCCCCAGAAATGCGGTGGACGCGGCCGCTTAAATGCCAACGGCGAAGCCGCGAAATGCCGGATAAACCGCACCTTCGGCGAGAAAACTCGTCGCGTTTTGTCTCTCACTGGGCGCTCTCTCTTTCTCTCTCTCTCTCTCTCTCGTTTGCTTCCACGAGGGCTATTCAGGCTGAATTTCAATGAAGTAACGGACGCCTGCTTATTGTCCAGCGTGTGTCCGATATTCGACGTACCACGTATTTCGCCTAATTGGCCGCATCGGGCGAATATATACGGCGTTACAGTAACAGGATATTTTTAAATACTGTATTTCATGGAATGTTGTTTTATTAACGATATCTGAAAGACGGATATTTTCTGAGAAAATAAATGTAATTAAATCGTGAACTATTTTATCTATCGGAAATATCTTTATGAAGAAAACGAGAACATTTATCTAAAAAGTAAAAAGACACTCTTCCTTCGATATATGCATTGTTCATATATTTTGATTATATTGTTCTTTCACAAGTAGGATTTACTCGCAGATACATGAGAGATCGCATATCTATTTGTCTTTATGCTACTAACTTTAATCGCTAAAGATACATGTTTACATCGGGGTTTAGTCCGTCTAAAGTGTTAGTTACTCCTGATTTATATTAATATTGTTAATAAATGTTAATTTTTAAGTAACAAATAAAATATTATCATGCAAGAAAATAATTTTGGTAAAATATTATATCATTATGTAATAAAATTTTTTGGTCACGTTCAATTTTGCTTCTTACTCTGTATTACGGAATAATACGGATAATTTGTCACCACTGAAAAAAAGTAAAAACAAAAATTTGATCATTTTTTTAATTGAAAAAATAAAAGAAAAAACACAATGTATATGTTAAAGGGTTAAAGAGTGACTTTACGTCAAACTCACCTTTATCAGGAGGCCAGTTGGGATTTCTATCCGGTTTCGACTTGTGCTCCGATTTTCCGATGTTTTCGAGCTGGTTTGATGCGACCTTGTTACCTTGTGAGAGAAAAATGCAGAACGTGATTATGTAAAACAACTATAGAATATAATATGTATTAGCCTGTAGTTAATACAGTCCTTACGAACGAAATACAAGAATATTCCCGAGAAAGATGTCTTTCCGAGTTGAAAAGTTCACTCGCAAACTAACGACGATTTGTTTCTCGGATGTTATGGGAATGAATTTTCCGGATGTTATGGAAATGAATTAAAAATTGAATCTTTCGCTTCGAGATAGTGGCAAGCCACCGGGTGAGACAGAGGAGATGAGATCTGAGAGAGCAGAAGGAGCGAAAGGAGGACTGCGTGGTTCGCATAGTGGATCCACGGACAAAGGGACGTACAACGAGTGGCCCTCTCGACTGAAGATGTTTACGAGCCTGTTACGCATAAAGTGGGTGGCAAACGCGTTAACTAGTATGCAAACTCCGAGTAAACACAATTCCCTTATCCGCGCCAAGTAGATTCTATCCATGTCACGACACACACGCCTGTCGCAAGCCCGCCGGTTTGGATTACATTCTTGTAACGGCACGATGTTCGTGATGAGTATATTTTGATAAAATTACACAACCTCCTCATGTGTGGAGTTTATCGTGTTTTCACGTGCGCGTCTGCCAGGTGCAGGTTGCACACAAATAAACACAAACCAATCTTTTAAATTGTTTTTAAGTCGTATTGACAAATCGTATTTTTTTTACCTGTCAAAACTGTAGTACATTGTTTGTCGAAAAAATCACGCACCTCAAAGCAAAAGTTTGCGCATGCTATCATCACGAGGAAATAAAGAAAAATGATAACGATATCGCAGTAAAAATGACTTATTTACGAATTTGTGTCTTAAATGTTGCAGACTGATATTTTGCAAAGTCAATGTCGCGGAGCAGAAATTATTTTATCGAAGTGCATCGATTTTTTTTAGCAATAACACAGATTACGACAAGAGCGCAAAACAACTTTTTCGCTACTTGTCGCAAGATTCTCAAATCGTTGCAGGCTAGTATTTTACGATTTTTCCACGATAATCCATCTTTCACGTTCAGATATAAATCGTGTATTTCTCGTTATTTCTCGCTATTTATCGATTGGATATTAAAGCCGATTATTGTAAGATAACGCTCAACGATTCTTCTCCACGATTAAGTGCGCGTATAAGCAAGCGTGTACGCGTATCAAAGTCGGCCAAAGTCCCACTGACAGATGCAGGTGCGCTAACGGGAGGAACAGCAGACAGCAGAAGCCGCAAACCCGGCAACCTGCACTTACAGCTTAATTTTGGGGTACCTACGAAGCAAGGTGCTTGTGAATACCGCTTTGTGTCTTCGTTCGCTCGTGATTAGATTTGTAAGTTCACGGGCCCCAGGGCAGAGCAGTCAGTTTGGGCGAGGGGCGGAGGACCGCACCGAGAGACAGCACCGAGGAACACGATCTTGGCGCGATAGTCTATTTCGTGTAAGGTAATGGGCGATCATGACGGTGTACGCTTGCGCGTACCACAGGTCGCATGTATGCACGTCTCTGTATAATGCTAGGCTGATAGCACAGAGAGTAAGGTCGCCGCCGCCGCCGCCGCCGCTGCCGCTGCCTCGCCGGATACACCCTCGGACAACGAGGTGAGACACCGTTGTACGGCGGCGCAATGGATAGGCCAGACAGACGTATGCAAATCTCGACCAAACATTAGCAGTGACAGTGTGTATCATGCTCTATACGTATCGCGCCGCCCGCCCTGTGGACCAGTTCTATAGTTTCCTATACGCGAGAATCTCTATCGCGATGTGCGGCCGTTTCTGTAGCTATGCGTGGGCGACGACGTGTTTAGGGAGCTAGACATATAGCCGCTTCAACGCGGCGGCATGGACGCGTGTAAGCTCACGAGAGCGTAAGCTTCGTTATCTGTAATAGTTCAGGAGATTTCGTTCGTACGTATATAATAATAAGACGAGTGGGAGTTTATCACAATTGCATGCGGATCAATTTTTGAGAAAAAAAACTCAAGCTCGCTTTCGACGATCTGTAATCCGTGACACAATTCGGGACAGCAGCGCTCTGCTCATATTTTTATGTGCTGTTTAATGCGGAAGATATTTGAAAAATTAGAGTATACACGTGTACAAAATATGTATCGAACATGAAATTTGTATTTCTTCAAATGTTTTCTCTCGCGATAAAATTAAATTAGAGATGGAGATCTTAAATTCTATCGAATTATAAGATCACCTTCTCTCTGAAGTGGGAATTAAATATTAATAAAATATTAATCAAATTTAAATGGTTAATTCACATTAAAATTTTACATTATTGACTTTCCGTCGGATCCAAATTGAAATGTTTATTTGTATCATTAAATTAAATATTTATAAAAGTAAACTGAAAAATAAATAAAAATAAAAGTCTAATTATTTAGAACTAATCGATAGACTGTTAAACACCGGAAGCTATTTGACGTAAATTGTTGTTAGAAAATAGAATTTTCACGAGTTACAAAGATAAAGCCATTAAACGCTTTCAAAAGCTCTGACCTGAGGCAGAAAATCTGTATCGTACATAAAACTGCAATGGAACATTCATCGGTGTCATTGCAGTTACGTCCATCTGTGTCACTTCTCTTTTCAGAGCTTTGAGATATTTAAAATAAGTCAAACATGGATCGCAATTTATAATAACTTAATCTGTCAATATATCGATTTTAGTATCAGAAATAGTTTACTGTTCACGACATGTTTTATAGTGATATATAATGAGAATTTTGTACAATGAAAATTTAACTATAATTGCAATATTTCGATGAAATCAACGACATCGAAAATGTATTACCTAAAATAGCTTTTCACCTAAATTATATATAAAAAACGTGTTTCTCTTTTTCGAAGAGAAAAGAGCAAATGAAACAAATTCAAACTGTTACGATTTTATTTTTTGAGAAACAAAATTACATATTATATATAAATGAGTTTCTTCAAAAGCTCCGGAGCTTTGCAGTCGCAATATTTTTCATCGGCGCCGTTGATTTTATGTCTGGTGGCTCTGATGATGTTTCTATTTATTCGCGTACACGGCTTATGCGACAGGTCAGTGCAGTTCGCCGCCGTTTAACTATTTTCGCTGAGCTTGTAGATTTAGCTAGCGTTTTGCATTCCGTGAATATTAAACTGCTCGGTTCTTGTCTGTTTGCATTGGGATATCATGCAATGCCGTACGCAGACACGCGACCAAAGTCAATGCTACTTCCGTTCCAAGGATACAGGTGGCTGGCCAACTATTCCTCAAGAAAATTAACGGAGGTCTGAGGTCACACGCTGGGTTCTAAACTTATACGACCGTGTCATGCGGCGCGTAATATTGTCACGGCGTCACGAGCGCGTGTTACGCTTCTAATTAACGTGCCTCTACAATGTTGATCAACGCCATAAATAATTTTACCAAAACCGACGTGCACGCACTTTATATAAGTATAGCTTGATAAAGTGTCTTTATATTTTATATCTCTACAGTCGCGCGCGACACTTTTTCTTCACGATTGCGCTCGTTATATATATAAATACTTATTTTACACACGCTTTTAACTGATTTAAGAAAATAACTAATAAATTTATTACACGTCGCGTTTGTGATTTAATATTATAGCAACGTGCGCATGTTACCGAATATCATTTATGCGCTATTCCTTTGCTTTTGACGCTATAGGTATGCGCGCGCGTACAATAGAATAGGGAACATGTTAATCGTACGAAGGCACGCGGCTCTAAACCAATCGCTATATATACTCCCAGAATTACAGGCGGACAACGCTGCCCTGGGGAATTAAGCGACACCTAAGGGCATATGTGCCCCGTGAGATGTCGCGATATCGCGACAATACTTGCTCTGTTTCCCATCGGTGCCTCAAAGTGACTTATCGCCGTAGGCCGTGCACAGTCGCGCCGCTGCAAGTGGCCGTCGCGAGCAGCGCGACGCGAGCTGAAAGCAAACGGAAATAGACGGAAATGTTTGCGAAAGGCAATTGTACGAGGACTTAATGCGGGTGCGCATTAATCACAGAACTCGCGACGTCGCGCAATTATGCAAAATTCGCGCGGAAAGAAAGTTTTTGAAATATTGTTTAATCTTTCACGCGCATATTGATATAATAAAGGCATTCGCGTGGAAACTGTAAACATTTCCGCGCACGTGTTTATATTGTTTTAACTCTTGCGAGTGAACTCACTTTTCCGCGTGTTGCACCGTACGCGAATAACATTTATACCGTCTTGTACGGAAAGTTAAGACGCACCGCTACGCGCTACGTTTAGGTATTCTCAACGACAGATTGTCGCGATTCACTACAAGCAAATAAGACCCTGTTTATGCTTGGATTTCCTTCACGCAGACGGTAACCCAAGCAAATCTTCTTGTTTAATCTTAAATGTACACTTGCGGCCTTGAATTTTCAACGATACAAATAACGAGGAGCAACGGCGCAAATAGAGGGCGACCACTGGATTGTTTAAAGAACGCATTACAAGAAGACCACGCAGCGCAGCAGTGGGACAAGGAACTGAAATAAATTATCCCGTGGGAAGGAAAAGGGGGGGGGAGGTGGAAAAAAATTCCCTGCGAAATATAAGGGAAAGGGGAGGGAGAGAGAATTGTAACAAGCGTAGCGCGGATATAAAAGGAGACGTCGGAAGACTAAAAGGGAATAAGTCAAACAGATATGTTAAGGAAAGAAGATGACATAAAAATAAAGTGCTTAAGAATACAAAAGAAACGGAAGCAGACGCGGTTAAAAAGTAACTGGAATAAGGAGGAGAGAAAAAGAAACAAGAAACGGCGAAAGGCAAGAGGAGCGATTCTCAGGGCGGGATTGGTGAGGCGGAAGAGGAGGAGGTGGAGGAGGAGGGGGGGGTGGGCGGCGGGGGGGGGGGGGGAGGAGGCGAGACGAGGGAGAGAGCACGAAGAGAGCAAACATTAATGCCACCTTGCAGACCGCAGATGTTGCACCAATTACAAACCTCATCCTTCCTTCGCAGCCCGTCCTTTCCTTCCCACCCGGTCTCCGCAAATAGAGAAGGAGAGACAAGGAGGACATATGCCGTATTCAAACTTACCACATCCCGTCGCGTTCGCTGTTCCTCACCCCCGCCGCCCACTCCCGTTCTCTTTCGCCGCCTCATCTTTTCACTCTCTCCTTTCTACCCGCCGCTCCCTCCCCCGGGGCGATGACATTGGGTTATACGCGGTGAAAAGGAAGATAGGGAGAGGGGGGGGGGGAAAGAGACACGGTAGAACACGGAGACGGTGGTCCGACGAAACACGAATTTTCGATTAAATTTAACACAAGGCGCAAAAGGATGCTAGGGCGCTGCACGATGCTGTTTTAGGGCGATAGAGCAAAACGCGGGACAAAGAAAGAAATAAAGAGGCGGCGGGCGCGCGGGGAGAGGCGAGGATAAGGGACGGAGAGACAACGCGGACTACAGCGGCGGCTGATATTATTCTTGGGTCTTCCTCGCCGGAGCATTATTAGTTCCGGCGTGTTAGCATACATGAAATATTGATGTTACAGGGATCTCTTCTACTCCAGTCAACCCTGTTCCCAACTCCTTTCTCTTTCTACCTCGCCTCCGTCTATCCATCCGTTCATCCTTTTCGCTCCCTCGCGTAACCACCACTCATGTGTTCCTGTTACGAGCATCACTTCAGTTGCTTCCTCTTTGTTGCCCTTATGTTCATTCTTCTGTTCCTTTTCCTTCCCATTCGCGTTCTACCCTAAGCTTTTTTGACAGTAACCGCATGTTTTGATTTCCTAAGTAAACGTCGGAATCTCGAGCAGCGTGATATATCAAAGTCGAAATCTTTTCTTGTCGAAGCTCACAAGTCCCGGCTTAATTTAAGACCAATTTATTTCTTTTCTTAAGAACTATAAGTATACAAACATCTATAGTCGCGTGCACGGCAACACGTTACTTTGATGCAATTTATTGCGTAAATATAGCGAGATTTTTTCCGTATTTTCCGATAATTTTCATATAATAGCGAAAGAAGGATTTTTGTTTTCGACAGTCCGATTGTAGATTTTTTTTAGTAATTTCAGGAAACACTTTTGCTCTATCAGCTTTGAGCGGGCTGCTTATCCTTCTTCAAACCGCTCTTAAAGCCGCAATCGATTCCCGGGATTCCCCGTGGATCCCCTGGCTCTAGTTAACATCGAAGTTAATCGCCGGAGATTCAAAGTATGTTACTGGAAAACCCAGTTATGGGATCGCATTTGGTTATACGTGACGCTGGATTGAGTATGTAAATTCGGTAGCGAGTTGAAATTTTACTAGGCTATAGGATATACAGATTATAGTTGTATAAAACTTCTGAATCTCTCCGCTCTTCATATATTCACGAAGAATGTTTAATGATAACCATACCGCTGTAAATACATTACGGGAGTTAAGACAAATAAATTCGATTATTACATGCGCGAGATTCGCGCTTTAATATTCATTAACATCCATTAATATTCATCCGAAGCCCTTAAACTTGGAAAATATTCTATTTAATAGACTTCTCCTGTTACCACTTTCAATATTACATCGTCTCGAAATTCTCTTCTCCGTTTCGTTACTTCTGCCTTTTCTTTTAAACGTGTTTCGCGAAAAAGATGCGAGTGATTGATGCATTCTTCGAACACAGATCAAGATCGAGGAGAACGCTCGTATCTTTTTTCCAAATATATACTCTCAAGTGCTTCTTACTCATCATATATACTCGCGTGACAGCCGACGACTACGCTACGTTGAAATGCGAAATTGTAAGATCAATTTCAAATAATTCGCGAAATTGCAAAGATATACGTTGAGCATTATGTAAATATAAAAAAAGAAGAAAGATGCACCGCTCCGAGTGCTTACCTGACTTGGAATTCTTCTCATTATGAATTGTCAGCGAACTTGGATTTCCGTAAACAGAGTTATTCGTATCCATGAAATCCCAATCTGTGAAGGTAAACGCACGTTGGAAAATTAGATTCAAGCGACCGAGTATAATATCGATTGCAGTATATGGAACCATCAAATTTTACGACGCGAGTCGCGATCTTAATAGCGTGATACGGAGTGATTTATCAAGTCTGCCATGATTTATGCTTAACTATCGCGAATATGATAGAAATGTGCTTAAAATCTTACCTTTCTTGGAGATCTCCGTGGTAGATGGACTGGGACTGGTGCTTGGCGGCGCGGACTCTGCGACAAAACAAATTTTCATCTTTAATATAAATCTATATTAATGCATCCAAAAAAAATTAACTATAGAATTCTTCGGCAATATGTTTTTACATTCTTTCCAAAGTGCTTATATAAGAAAAATGAACTTTTTATTCATTTCCTTTACAATTTTCGTGAAAAAATTATTATTTTTAATGTTCTAAAAGAATTTTTTAAATCTTTCACTCTCAATTGCAATTCATAGCACTCGCTCATTTATTTTCTTATCGTTCTGTCTGGAATTTTCTTATCTAAACGATAATGTAGGATACGTATTACGTATCTATCGTTTCAATGTTTTATTTTGAAAACTTTGAAACTATGTTATAACAATTACAATCGTGAAATTAATATATAGAGTTAAACGTTGCGCTATTATGCATGAAGTATTTACATGCGATCAGGTAAAAGACTTTTGTCTTTCTAGATTAGGTAAATTTCACACTGTGCGCTGTTATGGATCGCGCCACCTGTTACTAACTTCTCCGGCGGAACGTATTAGCCGTCGTGGCGCCGGCCAAGCCGGCCAAACTCTACATCATATTTTACTCCGGTACGCGCACTACCGACATCCACACCTTCCTTCCTCACATGTAACTTATCTCGGGGTATATATCTCAATAATTATTCGTAATTTCACCATTTGTCCTCGGCAACCGCGTCATCGACCGTCATTTACTACTAAGTGCGTGGCTGTCCACGTGAACATATTTACTGCAGCGATCTTTGCTAAAAGTGGCAGAATACATAATTGTATGCAATAAAGAGAAAATAGAGTGACCAAAATACTGGTGCAATTAGCAGTCGCCGTTTTTTAACGTTTTACCGGAAGCCTATTAATATAGGCTATTGGTCGTGATAGGTAAAGTGTGTTAATAATTGCGCGAATTCATTAAAATTAATTCATATAGCTTTTGATGGTTTTATAATAATTATTATGCTTATTATTAAAAATATTGCGGTGCCGCGTTAAGTGCGTGCCATATTGCAAATATGCTGTCTAATTTTACCAATGCAAAATTTAGTTTAATTATTCAGTTATTTTTGTTATACTGATCCATTTTTATTTTTCACATCTCTTGTACACACTGCTATAAGTATTATTAAATTAATCGTCAATTTTTCATTAATGCAAATAAATTTTTGCACGATTGCACGGCAAAACAAACGTAGATTAAAAACTGTGCTAAAATATATTTGCGTCCGTTTAAATTCGAATGTGTACGCAAAAAAAGAAATATGCAAACAAAACGGAAGAATTAAAAATAAATTTTAGAAAAAACATATTCTTAATATCAATATAAACATTAGTTAAATTAAATATCGTGTTTATGGCATCGAATGACCCATCTATTTTTTTGCAAAATTACAAGGAATAATCAAACAGCAGGCAAATTACTTTTGTTCATGCCGCGTCGTGAAAAAGACGATATCTATCGATTCAACAAGCTTTAATACAGACGTGAATGCACACGGCAAAACAGGTCATTGTTATTTGTCACAAGCGTCTGAGCGATTACCACCGGCAAGGTGGCGGAAAGGGTGCCTCTCCTCGCACGCGATGCACGCTGCGAAGGTGCGTTCTCTCTAAGGTAAATAGGATAGGATGACAAAGTATGCGCCTCAGCAGACGTGTTTACACACGCGAACGTAATGCAAATATGTAGCCGCCGTCTTTTCTGTAAGATAATACGTAAATGACTTTCAACCCGTTTTACTCGGCTGGGCGCGATGTTTGCCGCAAAAATTACAACAACGGCATGCCCATGCAACTTTATCTCGCGACATTTATCACCGTACATTACACACGCGCGCGGAAAGGTGTGCACATCAAGTAATATATCTTTTATCATAGAAAATCATAGAAGATGTGAAAGCGCACCGCGTTCATCATCACCGTCGTCGGTCGTGCGAGTTCTTTACGCACGAAAATCAATATATTTCGATATTCGAGCGAGAAAATTACGATTCTTGGGAATTATCATCATTCCTCGTCATGGTTATTACGAGGACATTATCCAGTTTTATAGATATAAATATGGCACGCGCGGTGGATGAAATTCATTTATCACTTTTGCAAGTCACCGATGGAAGGCAGAGAGATTAAAGCTGAGAGCGCAATGAGGAAAAAGCGAGATAGCAGAAGAAAGTGAGATAGAGCGGGGGCGCGGGGGAGGAAGGAGAGGAAAAAGAGCAGGAGAGGGAAAGAGAGAGAGAAAGTAAGGCAGCGACTTTTCACCTTTGATTTATCGCGCTAACTTTTATTTTCCTCAGGAGATATTAAAACCCGTTGTCCTGACCATTTAGCTTCACTGCGCTGATTGATGATTGAACCAGTTAACGCGCCTCTGCCGACGAATCAACTCTTTCATTATGCCCGATTAATATGGCGTGTGTCTTTAACGAACCAGAGTCGAGAAATGCGGGGAAACTCGATTGCCATTTAATCAATTCAAAGAGTTCAATGTATCGAGATTGGTACTTTGATACGGGTCGCAATGGGTAACTCTCTGATCGTTAACGGTGACCGTTCAAAATTATTACGAAAATTCGTCACAAACGAACACGACAAATTGTGCTATTTTTTTTTAATTTAACAGTAATTTTGCAAGGAAATATTGTAAGAAGTGGAATTCGATAGAAACATTGTAAAAAGAACAAACACTTTGCGTTTGCTCCGCTCAAAGTTTGTATGTTTTCGTCTTTTCGTCGTTAGTGAGCGAGGAGAACTCATTACAATCTTAAGACGCCTTAATTAGTCTAATAGCATCATCCCTTTTCATCGGTACGTCACTAACGCTCCGTTTCTCCCTTTCCCATCCGCTCATCTGCCTGCCATCCAATTTCCCCTTCCACCGTGCGGCTACAACGAGTACGCAAGACGTTCAAATATTGTCTAGTGTAAATGTTATTCATTGCGCGAGTAATTGTTAGCGTATCCTAGTGTAGAATGAATTACGTACAACTGGGGAAACCAATGAATCCATTTGTAGAATGTACCAAGACGTATAATAAATTTACAGCATCAAAGTTGATCTAGATAAGCTGAACTAGACGCGTTAGAAAATTGAAAATTGAATAATAATAACACGGGGAATTTTTAAGAATTATTTTTAACTATTTTTAACAAGTGTCATTGTTTCAAAGTATTGAATTGAGAGCGAAATCAAAAAGTATGCAACATTATTTAAAACGCGAGATATTTCCAACCTACTCGAAGCTTTCAGATATAACTCCTTTAACCGATTCGAAAATAATTTGTCTTTAGAAAATATTAAAAATCTTGAAGATTATTTTTTTATGCACGTTCCAATTTCTAATACAGATATTTTTGTGTAAATGAGCTTTAAGTTAAATTCCAATAGAATAAATTTAAACTAAATAACGAATAGAATCATACTCTTCATTGTCTTTTCTCGAATTGAGCACGCCAAAAATATTCCGCATCCTCAATTGTTTGCTTATTGAATATTGTTTTTTCGATATTCCATATTTTTTTATTTTAATTCTTCCTCATTTTTATCGCGAAAAAATGTATTTTGAGCTGACCTAACTCTGGTAGTGAACGATGGATTTCAAACGTTCCACATGATATTATATATTTTTATTGCATATCGAAATGTACGTAACTTAATTACACGCAGCCTGAATTGTAAATCAATCATCGTACGCGGATGCGCTAGAGCAGGTCCGATGCCACCAATCGTCAATGCTGCCATTATTGCGGTCGGACCGCGATCATTAACTAAATCGACGTTGGATCCGTAGGAAATAATTTGCCGTAGGCGTCATCGAATCTCGTCGCGGCCTCCGACAAGCAGGAAATTGCCAGCTTCGTTGGGTTACGATCGCGTAACCCAATTCCCGCGAAACAATGGCCGGGCTACCGATGCTTTTGTCAGCAGCTGCCCGCTACACGACTGTAATTACTCGTGACGAAATCCCTCACTAACATATCGATCGAAGACGGCCGACCGTTTGATCCAATTAGCGATAGGGTCAGATGTATGTATACACAGGTTGTATTAACACCCTGCCGGCGCGCATCTTCGCCCGTCATCGACCCCGCGCCGTCTTCTCAAACGCAGAGTCAAAGTCCTCTTTGATAATTACCGGCGTACGGTTCGTCACATTAACACGTCCTGCGCATCGATCCATTAACACGCCAACCGAGGTGAGTCTCAAGGCGGATGTTGCAACGATCCGCCTTGATACCCCCTGGGATTACACCGAGCCACTGGCTGCGAGAGATCTGGCTTCCTCTACGACGTGTTGCCGGCGTGTCGCGTCGCGTCCCATACGTGACAAAGGAGCGGGAGAGCGAACGCAGCGTGTGTGCGAGTTTTCTCTCGAGCCAGAGCGAACGCGGCGGCGGTATCCCCGGCGTAAGATTCCTTTTATGACGAGTTTCACGTTTTGTGTCGAGCTTCTGGTAAATAGGTCCCTTAACGATCAAAAGGGTCGCGGTGGCTAGTAACATAGTTATAATTCTATCAAGTCGCTTGCCTTTGTCCGGCGCCCGTATTTCCAAACGGTGATCCCGATAAAGTAGCCGTTGGTGCCCGCGCCGGAAGGCATTTTCCTCGCGGAGCGTAGTCGTCGTCCGAACGGAAGGGCGTGGATGCGCGCGGTTAAAGGTAGCTAAAGGCAACTCTCTCTCGTCGGTGGAGACGAGAAGAGAGCGAGAGACCGTGGCAGGGCAGGACGGGGGGGAGGGAGAAGAAGTGGAGAATTAGTATGCGGCGGCTGTCACGGCGCCATACCCCAACTGCGGCGCCTTCCTGCACCTTTTGCCCAACCCTGGACCACCCGGGCCAGACCGTTAATTTTCCATCCCGTGACTCCAATCAATCTTAGCGCCGTCAGCGGGTCTCCCTTATGGCGATACCCCGCGGCCCTTTCCCACTCCTTTGGCTCTCGATACGTTACCGTCTGCCACCTCGGATCCCGCCGCCCCGCCGCTGTCATTTCCGGCTTCC